GATTCTTAAAAATACACTTTTATTTTTGAACTTATTTGAGAGCTGGAAGCAGAGCTGGAGGAATGTACAGATGAAAGGAGCATGGATGGAATGAAGGAGGGAGGGAAGGAGAGAGAGAGAGAGAGAGCGAGAGACCAAGAGCTCCCATCCTCTGGTTCAGTTCCCCAGATGTGCACACTGGCTAAGGCTGGACCAACATTCAGTTGCAGCCAGGCAGAATAAAAATGTAATCTGAGTCTCCCTCCTGAGTGACAGGAATCCAATTATTTGAGCTATCACTGCTGCCTTCTGGGATTTGCACTGGTGGAAAGCTAGAGCAGGGGCTAGATGTGTGAATCAGATCCTAGCACTCTGATGTACACAGAACAAACCTGTGTGCTGACTTACGTGCTTGCAGGTTGAGTCACAAGTCTTAAACAAACCTAGGCCTCACACTGTATTATTATTTCTCTTAACAACTCCTGTTTAAGTGTTAGTGATAGCTAATTTTTTTTTTAATTTAACAGTTATAAGTGAGCATGTCAGTAGAACTTATTGGTACTTCAATAAAAAATGTGTTAATGTTGACTTCTTCAGATAATGTTGATATTATTGATCATGCTTTGATCTTAGATCAAAGATTTCTTCCCTGATTACACATTAGAACCAAGTGAGGCTAGCTGAACTGATGATGAACCCCAGACAGTGGTATTTAAACTTCTTTCCCAGTCGATTTTAATTTTTTATTATTTGAATGCCAGAGAAGAGAAAGAAAATGAAAACTTTCATCTTTTGGTTAATATTCCAAATGCTTGCAACACCTGGGATTAGGCCAGATTAAAGCGGGAGCCCAGAATTCAAACCAGGTCTCCCAGGTGGTTGGTGGGGGAGCCATCACCATTGCTTCCCAATGCACTCTCTCAGGAAAGTAGATTTATAGGTGGAGTATGGGATGAGGGTATTCTAAGCACCACCAACCACCGTGGCGAACACTTGTCCTCTAAAGTTTGTTTTTAAATTACTGTGGCTGACTTTATTAATGACGGAACCTATGTGTATCAAGTAAGAATATGGTACCATAGGATTTGAAAAGTGGGAGGGACCCTCAAGGACATCTCCTGAAAAGACAGGGTTTGAAGTGCCAGCATGCACTGACATATGTACTTATTGGCTGCATAATCATGTAATAATTAGTTAACTTCTTTATACCTCATCTTCTCTCTCCCCCCTACACACACACACACACACACACACACACACACACCACCACCACCACCACCCATTTTCTTCTTCCGCCCTACTCCTTGTATAGGTGAATTGGAACCAGCCTATTGACTCATTTTGGTAATGGGATCTTCGTGTGTCTTTTACCTGTAAGATGGGTTTCCTGAACAAAGTCTTTTGCTCCTTCAATAGATTATGGGAAGCAATCGTGGTTTTTTTTTCATCTTGGCAAAGCCATAACTGTCATTTTTCATGTACCTAAGCACTAAAAACTAAGTTTTAATTATTTCAATTAATTCCCATTAAAATAAGGTCCATCTAAGGGATCTTATTTCAGGATGTTTAGGTCATTCAAACTCATCAAGCTTGTGAGTCACAGAGTATGATTTTGGACTCAGTTTGACCTTAAATCCTCTTTTTAAAAAAATATTTATTTTATTTTTATTGGAAAGTCAAATATACAGAGAGAACGAGAGACAGAGAGGAAGATCTCCTGTCTGTTGATTCACTCTCCAAGTGGCCACAACAGCTGGAGCTGCACCGATCCGAAGCCAGGAGCTCAGAGCCTCTTCCAGGTTTCCCATGCCAGTGCAGGGTCCCAAGGATGGGAAGTGGGGCTGCCGGCATTAGGACCGGAGCCCATATGGGATCCCGGTGTGTGCAAGGTGAGGACTTTGGCTGCTAGGCTATTGTGCTGGGCTCAAATCCTCTTTTCTAAATAATCTTTCTGAACTTTGTAAAAGCGATGCTAGATATACACAGGAGGCTAAGATGTTGGTCTACTGAAAGTCAGATGGTGCTTTTTAGTAACAGTAACATAATGTCTGTGTATCTTCAGAAACCTTGTCCTTTCCACTAATTGGCATTGATTTGAATCACTTGTGTACGTGGGCCCTTGATAAAGCCTTGTTGAAGAAACAGACCATCTCTCCTTCAAGGCAGAAGTCGCTCCTTTCGAAGGTGTTGGTGTGTGTGCGTTTTTGGTGCTTTTTATCCGAGTCAGAGAGAAGCCACGATTATGTGAAGAGGTCTGCTGTAAGTATGTGAGGTTGAGGCCACTGGATAAATTCTGAAGAAGTCTGAACAGAGTATTCTGAGGGGGTCAGGGCAGAGTAGACATCGTTCTTGGCTTCCAGGAGAAATTCTGTAGGGTACACTCCTACGCTTGGGCTGTAGACCACTGCAATGCATGCATTGGTGACTAGCAAGAGGGCATGCGCAGGTGCTTTACCGACTTGAAGTTTGCCGGTTGTGTCCAGAGAACATTTCCTTTTAGTATGTTTGGAAACTCTACATGTTTAATTCCGGCTAGGAGTGGAAGTAAATGCTTCACATGAGAAATAAGTAAAACTTTTTTAAAGGCTTAATTTCTTTCACAAACATGTGGTTTTTAACGACTGGGAATTCCTGGTGTAGGAAAAAAATGTCCTTTTGTACGAATGAGTTCTTTCTGGTTTCAACTGGCCCTGTGCACTTCGGGTGCTGCTTTCTCGCCCGTGTTTTGTGACCAGAGGTTATTGGGAGGATAGTCCCTCTGTGGCTATTCACTGCTTTGGGGGCATGTTGCCAAAGGGAAAGTTATTTTAGCTCAGAAATTGCCACACCAGTGCAAGAGTGCCAGATCCCGGGAGTATAGAGCTAGTGACAACGAGGTGGTGTACCCCGCCTGTCCCTTAGGCTGGAAAGCATGGGGGAGGGTGGTGGTGGTGGTGATGGGGTGTGTGTGTGTGTGGGGGGGTGGTGGTGGTGGTGGTGATGGGGTGTGTGTGTGTGTGGGGGGGTGGTGGTGGTGGTGGTGGTGTGTGTGTGTGTGTGTGTGCCAGCACTGCTGTGTGTCCATTCTCTTGTAGATTTCTCAGCTGCTTCATGGTTTCTTAGTTCAGGAGTTGCTTCCCCTTACTGGGTGCAGCTCATTGACTCTGCTTTGGTTCTGTGATGAGTAGGAACATCTGTGCCAGTCTGAGATCACGTTCATCTTTTTAAGCTGGTGTAAATGAAAGACAGCTGCTGAAAGGAGGGCCTCTGTGTGGAGATAGTGTCTGCTTTAAGTTGTGTGTTGGCTTGGTTAATTTGAAGACTCTGTCCGAGGCCTTAGATTTGTACCATAGAAGGATTCTTCCACAAAGCTGTGGTGAGTGGATCGCAGTGGACACCTCTGAGGTAGTTTAAACTCATTTTTTTTTTTCTAACTCTAAAATCACCAAGGTTTGTATTAGAGGTGAGCAGGAAAATTGTTACTTCTGACCTGCATGGGAATGAACATGGAGTGGGTCTGAGTAACATTTGAAATTGTCTTATGGGATTTCCTTTGTTATTTAGAAGACAGCCATATGGAAGGATCAGTGATTTGAATCTGATATTTAGTCACTGCTTCTTTGCGACTGGTTCTGTGCAGTTTGCCTTTTTAGAGACCCTAGCTTTGCGTAATTAGTAGCACATGAGATTGCAAAGTCACTATGCTGCCTCTACTCTTGAAGTGTATGGTTATTTTCCTAAAGTTCGTCTTTGTGAAGAATTTTTCAGTAACCCTTTGATTGCTTGTTTGCTTGATTGACTATAGGTGTTTATTATAAAAATTTACTCGTGGCATTGAGAATTTGATTCTTGTTATCACAACACCTGAAAATCTATGTTCTGGGATCTTTATGGCATACACATGGCTTTCTTAATCTGAAATGTTAGATTCAAGCTCTGTTGCTTCAATAAGCCAAACAATAATTTCTTGATCTGGGAGTAAGAAACTTGATCATGGGGAAGGTGGTGTAGCTGAGCAGGTAAAACCGCCAGAATGTGCTGTGGCTACAGATTTCCATAACAGTGCTGCAGTTCCCATCCAGCTCTCTGCCTGGGTAAGCAGAGGCTGTCCCAAGTTCCTGGGCTCCTGCAGCTATAAGAGTGTCCCGAAAGAAGCTCCTGACTTTGAATGCGCCCAGGTCTGGCTGTTTTAGCCATTGGGGAGTGAACTAGCAGATAGAATACCTCTCTCTATCTCCTTTCTCTCTCTCTGTCTATATATAACTGCTTTGAAGTAAATGAATCCTAAAATTGTGATCTTGAGCTGTCATGCAAAGGAGAGGGTTATCAAATCTAGACATGAGCTGCTTATAAATTATCAGCAGACCCTACCCCTAACCCTCCAATATGCTTTGTCCCCTTTTGGAGGCCTCAGAAAGAATTCTTGCTTGAAATCTCTCGCGACATTGAGGAAGTCAGGCTGGGTGATATTTGAAGTGATGGTTGGTTCTCTTGACCACCTGTTTCCCATCTTACTTTCATCTTCCTATTAGTCCTTTCATGTACAGAACTAAGTGAGAGATGAAGGATTATTTAAAGAAATTTGTTACAAGTTCACGTCTGTTTATTACTGCTGGCTGAGACTACCCTTGAACTACCCTTGATTTGTTCAAATGTAAGAGAAAATACGAAGCTGTGCCCCTTGGCTTCACTTGGTCCTGTCCTCGTGCAGCCCACGTGCACTGGAAAGGAGACCCCGTGGGCTCAGGTTTCTGTAGTATCCACGCTCCCATTCCTCCCAAGGCCTGGACTTACTATAGATAGCTCATGAGTATTTTGCTGCCCTTAAGAACTGTTACAAAATAATTGGAGAAAAAAGTGTGGTAAGGAAATTCTTTCCTGAAACTAGGGCATTTTGGGCAGTTGCTCAGTGCCTCATGTTAATTCCTGTGCAGGAAAACACATGGCGTTTGGAAAAAGCGGTTAGTATTGTTTGAGAAGCTGTATATCTGCCTACATGCTTAATGTGATATTGCTAACATATATTTATTGTTTCTTTGTAGCCTCAGATAATCCAGCAGACACTCAAGAGGACCTTGAAATACTATGAGCATCAAGTGCTTGGGTAAGTTAAAATCAATGTTAAGTGTGACTTGGGGGGAAACTGTAGGTAATCGTTCAAATATAGTTAGATATGTAGTTTTATGTTACCCAGGTCATCTTATTCCCTGGTGGTAATCTTATTTCATAGTCTGAGTAGACTGATGGGATCCCTAGGGGGGACTTTCTTCTGTTTATAGGTAATTGGTTTTTTTTTTTTTTTAATAGAGTTGCTTTTTACTGTTGTTTTTAGGTTTTCTGTGCTCCTGTGTTTTTATCCTTTCATTCCAACATTGAATCTTAAAATTTGTATTGCTTATCTGGTAACTTTGTATCAACTGAGAGAGTTTGAATAAGATTTTGGATTCCTTCAGTAGAGCTTTGTCAAAATCACTCCTAACTTGATGCGTTTTAATGGGAGGTGGTGATTTAGTTGGAGTCATGTTTTACATATTACTTCATTATCCTTCATTTCTGAGTGGGTTGTGGTAAGGTTTAAAGTAAGAAGCCTTTAGATCCAAAAAACAAAAAAAAAGGAATCTGAGGCCTCACTAGTACTTAGAGCTTTTAGAAGCACCTGAATCTTTCTTGTAAACACAGTGATTGTTAGGTGTCATGATTAAATGAGATAATTCAATGAAAATATTTTATAAAGTTTGAGATGAGTTTAACGTATGCTTTTGATTTGCTTTGGCAAAAAATGGGGAAATATGAGAATTACTAAAAATTGCAAACTTTAAAGTTTTTAAATTTTTCGTGAATATTTTGAAGAACCCTTGTACCAAAGCCTGTTTGCATTCTTATGCAACATAGCTTTTCCACTGAAATCACTGCCGTTAGGAACAAAGAAAGCTTCTATTTTTCCTTGCTAATATTCACTATATGCTAAGTGATTTTTTTTTTTGTGAGACTTAAGAACTTCTGAAGAGTCAAGATTCAACTCTGTTGTTCTGAAATGCTACCATGAATAATTTGACATAGCTAATCGTCCTTGTCATGTGCATCAAGAATATATTTTTTGTTAGGATGTAATACAATTATGTTTATAGAAACAGAAGGGAAGAAAATTTAATTGAGAAAATTACCTCAATATCTAGTGCAGTAATGTCATATACAAGTGTGTAATGGTTGTGTTGTCATTTCAAAGGAGATTGCTTTGAAACTTGTTATGTTAACCCTTAACAGTGTCATGTAAGCAAGGAGTACTATTTAAGTTCCTAAAATGACTTTTAGTTTGAGGCTGTTAGTGATTTCAAATGTTTTATCCTAATGGAGATAAGGAATATTAATCTTCCCTCACCCACTTAAAATAAAAACTACTCACTCTCATTGAATTTGCTACTTTTAAAGTATAAAGATTGCATTAACTTAGTTAATATACTTAGAATTATTCACTGTACATGTGCATTGCATATGTTGATCATCGTTACTAATCTTCATCAAACTTTACCAAACTTAGGAGTTAGGAATGTGCTTTCTGTTTTGAAGTCAGTAATGACTGATGATATAGACTCATTTGCAAACTAAGCTGTAGGTTCAAGGCACTTTGGAGTGCAGCTCTTAAAATTTGATAGAGGTAGGAAAGTAATCTGTATTCAGCAGAACATTCTGTTGTCATTAGCAGGTTTTTTCTCTGGTTTCATCACCTCTTGAGGTACACATAGCCGGTGGCTGTTTGTTGCCTTTTCCAGGTTTTGTTTATTTCAGAGTGTAACAAAAGCAGAATTTCATTCTGGTGTGAAGTGTGTTCCTGATCCTAATAGCTGGGCTAGGCTTTTTTTGCTTGAGTGCTCTCTGACTGCTAAGATTCCAAGTAACTTACTCACTGCGTGTTTTTGATCCTCAAGCTGATGGAAATGCAAAAGGCCCATGGCAGTGATTTTGTCCGGTGAGCCGTTCTTGATTATCTACGTTATCCCCTCTCCATTTGGCTGTCCTGCCTGGCTCCACAATTTGTTTTTGTGCCTTTCTTGACTTTTATTTTTCTCTTTACAAAACTGAAGAATGAGAGCATCAAGGTTACTAACACTTGGACTAAAATGTATTCACACCTATGTGCTACTCTTGTTAAGGTAACACATTCAAGGCTTTTCCTTTATGTGTAAAGGAATCTGTTTATAACAGTTAAAGGCATTCCATACACTTGGGCAAGTACTAACATGCCTCATTTGTGCTTGTGGAGGTGAACCGTCGGGCTTTCCTAAGGCTTGTGTGAAAGTAATTTGGCTGTTAAGCTGAGACCGTGAATCAGGACAGGTGGCTAATGTGAATTAATCCTTCTCTTTTAAATTTTCTTTTAAATGAGAGTGCAATTGTACATGTGATAGTTCCATATACATATATATACACAGTGTGTACTGATGAAATCATATAATTAGCATTTTCATCTCCTTGTCATTGACATTTGAAGCTATTGAGCTCCTTGTCTTCTAGTTCTTTATATAATTTGAAGTGTAGTCACCTGATTGCACCGCGTAATTGCCCAGGTGCCTTCTCTTAGCATCAGCCTGTGTTTCAACAGGTTGAGTCTTAGCCTGCACTATCCCATATGGACGCTGCTTTGGGTTCTGACTGTTGTGCTTCTCCAACTGCCTGGTAATGTGCCTGGGATAGCAATGAAGGATGGCCCAACTTCTTGGGCCTCTGCCCCCAAGTGGGAGATACAATGACGCTCCTGGCCTGTTGTGGCCATCCGGGAAGTGAGCCAGCGAATGGAAGACTGTGTCTCTTTCACTCCCACATTCTGTCTCTGTAGCTCTACCTTTCAAATAAATGTTTTAGAAAGAATAGTAAAATGGAACTCAAGAGTAAGTTTATTAAAAAACAAATCTTCCTGCTATCTGCCTCTGATACTTTGTATCTATTCTCCTGCTGTCCCCTCCTCTCTATACTTCCAGTAATCATTATTCTACTTTTAGATAGACTCTTCCAGCTTCCACTTGTGAAGGAAAGCATCCTGCAATTTCTTAATTAAGGCTCTAATCACTGACCTCTCCATTGTCTCTTTCCTCTCCTTTCAAATTTTGCCCTTAGATCTGCTGCACTTGTCAGAATTCCAGGAAGGACTGTGTAATTCTGCTCCTTGAATTATTGTACTGGTTGCCCATAGAAACTGAGGCTTTTTTTTTTCATCTTCCAAGACATAGATTTGAACGCCCAGAGCAGCTGCTCCAAGGGTCACAGATGGGAGGACTGAGTGGGAGCGGTTGCCAGAGAGCCTCTCGTTAGAGTAACGTAGCTTCTCTGTACCAAGGGCACTGTTATTGTAAAACGTTTATTTGATTCCATCCACTTTTTCATTTATTCACAGGAATCATTCAAGTTGGGAAAATGAATGTTAAAATAACTTATTCATGTAATGTGATAAATCTACCCTTCATCTTACTGTTGTCATTCATCAGCTATCTTTAAGAGATTCTGATCTAGTTTTCTGGCCTCTGCTGTTTCCTAGGACTTTATTTTCATCACAGCACAGCAATCAAAAATTAGAGCATGCTGCTTTCTTGTTTGAAACCACTGCTTCTTAAATGTTATTCTATACCAGCATCAATGTTCAAGGTGGTTCACACACAGATTGCTGGCCCCTACTCTTAGGGTTTCTGATTTAGTTCCAGGCTGACTGAACAATTGCAGTCCTAATAAGTTCCCAGGGAATGCTAATACTGCTAGTCCAGCTTTGAAACTCATGCTTCAAACTGTAAAGTTGAGTAAATGAAATATTACTTTCTGTGACCTGTCCTCTGCTTGCCTCTTTCATTTCATCATCTTCCATTACTACACTTTTTTTTTCAGTTCTCTGACCTTCAGTTGGTTTTATCAGTTCCACCAAGCTTAGCTTACAGGTCCTTACACATACTGTTCCATTATCTCAAGATGCTCTGTCCCCGGATGCTGGCACAGCTTATTCTTTATGTACATTTGACTTCTGTGCAAATGTCATTCCTCTAGAAAGTCTTCTGTGATCACTCAGTCGAAAGTAACCCATATCCCACCTGTATCTCCAAACCCAGACTTTTTTTTTCTCATTGTGCTCTATTTCTTTTAATATTACTGTTTTAGTTCTTAAGTCCTTTTTAATGTATATTGTTACTCTTATGTATCCTTATGAGTACTCAATACTCAAGAGTTGCTAATATTTTGGAGAGATGGAAGAAGAATGATTGAATAAGGTTCTGCTGCTAGAATAGCATTGGGCAGATTACTTAGAATCCTTGAGTATCCATTTTCTATCTTTAAAATGGATATCACTATCATATCCAGATATGAAGATACAATGCAGTATGCATCTCTACTTCCAAATCAAAGATAAAACTGTTGAATATATTTTGATCATAGGGTGCTGGACTCTCAGCCATTGTCCATACCTACAATGCCAGGATACACTTAAATAGCAGAATGTTGGACCAGTGACTGTTTATGAAGAACTATACTATTATGGGCCCGGCACAGTGGCGCAGTGGTTAAGGTCCTTGCCTTGCATGCCCGGTATCCCATAGGGGCGCCGGTTCTAATCCCGGTGGCCCCACTTCCCTTCCAGCTCCCTGCCTGTGGCTCTGGAAGGCAGTCGAGGACAGCCCAAAGCTTTGGGACCCTGCACCCACGTGGGAGACCCGGAAGAGGCTCCTGGCTTCGGATTGGCATAGCATCGGCCGTTGCGGCTGCTTGGGGAGTGAATCATTGGATGGAAGATCTTCCTCTCTGTCTCTCCTCTCTGTATATCCGCCTTTCCAATAAATTTTTTTTTTTTTAAAAAGAACTACACTATTGTAATAATATTGGGGGTATAAGTAAAGGAAGGAGATGGGGATGGGTAAGGGAAATCCCAGAGCTTATGGAATTGTATCATAAAAGAATAAAATAAATTTTAAAAGAGAATAAGAACAGGGTTAGGGTAAGATTAAATGAGCATCGATGATGTGTTAAGCTGTAGTTGACTTGTCACCACCACTATGAGATTCTGCCATTTCAGTTTTTGCTGATTGTCCCATTGTTTCCTGTTCTTCCTTTATCCTTTTTAGGCATTCAAAACTTAGAATTTTTTTTAGCAGCATCATAGACTAGACATGCCTAGTTTATGTACCAGCTAGATTTTTTTTGTTGTGCAGATTTCTTTTTCTTTTGTCAAAGTTTATTTTAAAATTTCTTTTTACTTTATTAGAGGAAGTAAGAGGGAGAGGTCTGAGAGGTTGTCCTTATTCTGACTTACTGCCCAAATGCCCACAGAAGTTACAGCTGGTCCAGGTTCATGGAATGCTATCCAGATCTCCCACATGGGTGGCAGTGATCTAAACATTTGAGCCATCAACTGCTACCTCCCAGAGTGCACATCAGGTTGAAGTTGGATTGGAAGCAGGAACTCTGATAGGGGTATTTGGGTGGATAGTTTAAGCCACTGTGCCAAATGTCTGTTCCTGTCTGTGATGTCTGTCTTTAGAGTGTCTAGCCCATGACCCCTGCCACTGTGACTCACACAAGTGGATTATAATGCAAATGTAAACAAATTTATTTAGTGAACTATCATGGAAGGCACATGGTGATCTTTCTCAGCTTTAGTGTTTTTTTATTATATATATTATAAACTGTTGAAGAAATATTCAAAATCACACTATTCATTTTATACTTTTTTTTTTTTGCTGGGATAAGCATGTTTGTTAATATCATAGGTAGAACTGCTGACAACCTCTTGTGAGTCCGGGATACTGTTTCCTGTATTCGTTCAAAATTAAATTCTCATACTTTAATTATTGCTGTGGTCTCTATGTTTGTTTTACTCAGGCAATCCTCTGTTCTCTTTTCCTTTGGGCAATTAGAGATTAAACCAGAATAATTTCAATGGAATGTTAGAAGTGAAATTAATAGGTGAGCTCTGATTATTCTGGGACACGCATTTCTAGGATGTCATTTCTGCTTTATGATCAGATGTCGTGACTGTGAATTATTCTATTTAAAGAGCGATGTAGCTTTCCCCTGTACTTATATACAGTAGCTATCTTTTTATATGAAGGCTAAATGACAAGAGCGAGCATCTGTTGATTCCTTACTGTCTTTGAGACAGTGTGTTAGATACACATTTGTATTCATTTTCTTTAATCCTAACCATATTTTTCATGAAATAATTGTGTTAGGTTCATTTTATGGGTGAAGGTCTTGAGGAAGAGAGACACATGTTTTCTCCAAGGTCATTCTGTTAAAAGTCATGGAGTATGGTTTAAAAATAACTGTTTTTAATGTCCATGCTTCCTCTTCTGTTTGCCCTTGAGTGATCCCCACATTCCAAAAGGTTTGTCTGGCTTGCTTCTTAGAGTTTAATCTCAGGGAGATGTAATAGTGTGAGTGTTTTGTTTTCTATAGAGTTTCTTTACGTATGCCAGCAGAAATCCATTTTGATAGCACCTGGGACATATTGGGATGGATTGTACATTTTTAGGTAGTTGGTCTGTGAAGTCCATGCCAGAACAATGCACATCTTCCATCTCGTATCCAACCTGATGTTCACATGATTTTCTGCCTGGGTCATAGCATTGCCCAAGGAGCTTGGAAGGCAATACGGGACAGGTGAGATACAGGTTTTCATTCTTCTAAAGTTTACTCTTCTGTGGGCATTCTACCCTACCTGACTCTTGCTTTTTATGTTGTGCTATCTTGGACAGGAAAGGAATGGAAATTGGCAGAAACCTTTTTGAATTCACTGGTGGTGGTTATAATTGTCTCTTGACTTGATGCCCTTAATAAGGCGTTGCTTCAGTTCTTGGCCCTGAGTATTGTACCACACAGTCTTGCTAACAGTCTAGCTAGCATTCTTGATTGATAACACAGCTGGATGGCTGGACAGCTCAAATCTGCCTCTCTTCATGGCTTCTCCCAGCTCTTAAAAAACTGAAATATTTGCCTTGCTAAGTGGTGTGCCTAGAGGTTGCTTCCAAAATTGCTTTCTTTTTTCTTGTCAACTTTCTTTAGACTGCTCTTGCTCTGCTTAGTCAGACATGAGCATGAGATTAAAGTGTGATCAAGGAATCTACCTGTTCTGCACATGCTCTCTGAAGACTGGGATATTCAACCTACATTGTTACCAGCCCCTAACCCCTCTCTCACTGACGTTGCAAGGAGAGGTCTCCTCTCCTTTTCTTGGAGGGCAGGGGAAAAATAGAGCAGCATGCTCCTCCTAAGCCAGCTGCATTCTTGGGCTCCTTTTTTTCTGTTAGGTGGTGGTAGGACGACAGTGACTATCCTCACCTTTTAAGTCCTGAAGAGTTCCTGTCTTCTTGGCTGCTCTTTTGGAATGTGGGGGTATTTGGTTCCCATTGTCCTCAGCTTTGATGTTTTACTTCTCATTCAGAATAACGAGAACAATCTTAGTCAATATCTGACTTTATAGTTGTGTCATTTAGTCTTCACAAGTACACGAAGAGCTATTTTCAATATATCGAAGAGGAAGGTTATATGGCAGACTTACTGGGATTATTTGTCCAAGGTCTCAACATAGAAAATGGTGATAGCAGGACTCAAATTCAGCCAGGCTCCAAGTGCTTTGTGTATTTGCTTTCTGTTTTCCATTCACCATACTGCTCTCTTCTCGACTGTGTTGGAGCTTGTGTTTACTTTCAACACAGTTGAGTGCCAGTGCACCAAATTAGCACTGTTAATTTTTCTTTCTCTAAGTAAATTCCTTACAGAATCAGATTAGCAGCCGTGGTGAAGTGCTCAGACATATGGATATATTAGCTGTACAAAGCCCTGATATATTTATGTCTGCCATCTATTTTCTCCACACACAGCTTTGTTATTAATGATTGCCTCCAGTTCCAGGTCCACACTGTGAGTGCTGATGTGAGTGGTGGGTTATGCCAGAATGACGTGTGTGTGTGTGTTAAAGCTTCGGTTATTTTAAAATGCAATTACGCAGGCAGCATAGACAGCATGTGCTTTTGCGTGTGTAGAGGCGTGTGTGTGTGCAGATGCTTTAAAAACTTCTCCATATGCTAATTTTGTTTTCTTTTTAGTTACAGGGATGCAGAAAAGAATTTCCACAATATCTCTAACAGATGCTCCTATACAGATCATGCCAACAAAGAGGAAATTGAAGATGTCTCAGGAATACTCCAGTGTACTGCTAATATACTCGGTATATTACCTATACATTTATTTGGTTGAGAAAGTAAAAGGGGAGCATGGGAAAGTAAAGGTGTATTTCACTTTGTATTAAAGAAAGGTGTGGAGGATATAGCAAGATAAGACCTTACCTTTGAATTATGTAATTTTAATATGTGGATGTTTGAGTAGAAATTACATGCATGCCATTTATTTGGAGATTGGAAAACATTAACAAAAATACATTCATGGGAAACTTTATCAAATATTCATATTTTGGTAGTGTTAGCTTAGTGTAGTTCATAATTCTCTGATCATTACCCTTACCTGAAATTGTGTGAAGTTTCTGGCCTCTGATGATTTTATTTCCAAGAGATATTTGGTTTGGCTCAAATTAACTCACAAGATGTCTACAACTCTGTGATCCCTTCTATTGCTGTATGGTAAGGCAGATCATCTACTGAGGTCCTGTGCCCTGCTCCACATTGAGGGAGTGCATATTTCAAAAATACCTCTGTCTATGATGGGGAGTTATCTGTGATATTTCTAAGTGTTAATAAGCCCGGCTTATAGACAGTGTGGGATCATGTGGCCTAGAGGTACCATGGCAGAGCTGTACTGTAGTACTATCCGAGGTTTTTGCTATGTGATTGCTAAATTGTACTTCATGTCAAATAGATATCATGGTAGGATTCTTTTTTCTGCCATAATTTCTCACAGAAAGTTTTAGTGAAAAATATTTCTTCCCGTTCTTTTTGGGATCTTTTTTCCTTTGTTTATGACTTAGAGGAATTCATGGGGTCATTTTGCTGGTGGTGGCAGCGGAACAATAGGTTACCATGACTGACTGGATACAGAAAATAGAAATCGCCTCTCCCTCAGAACTAGGGGAGAGAAAATAGGGGAAACTTGAAATCCGCTGCCTTTCTTTTCCTTTATTATTATTTTTTTTAATTTAAAAAAGCCTATAAATATTTAATTTTTTGTTTCTGATGCCTAATATTCAAAGACAACATGTTAAAACAATGACGCATAATACTTTATAATAATAATTTTGAACAAAGGGAGGAAAGAATGTATTCATTGGGTGAATTAAAATAAAAAATATTTACGTGAAAGGAAAGAGTTATAGAAAGAGGGAAGGAGAGAGTATTTCCATTTCCCTGCATTACTAGAATTTCTCTTACAAGCAGTTTCAGGTAACCTCCATCTGTGAGCCACTTCCCAGATGTAGCCACTTCACACTCAAGCTGGAATGCCATCTTCCAATTGGCCATATTTTAATTCTAGATAATTTTGTAAGCACAAAATATGAGAGGAGCTGTCTTGATGATAGACATTTCAGAGTGCATGATTTGTGTGTAACAGGATCCAGGACAGTGATGGATAGTGAAATAAAAGACCAGAGATACATTTCCCTGAGTTTGAGCACATACTACCCAAGTCAACCATTACTACAGAAGAGAAGAGAATGGAGGGAAGAGGGTTGGACATTACCCAATAGCTGTTTAAAGTTTTATGACGGTATCTTAAAGGACTCTTATCAGAACTCTATTTCTCATATACATTGTGATTTTCAAGATCTGAATAATGTTCCACCTGCAGAGAACTATCAGAATCTTATATTTGGAAAGTTGCTGTTTACTTACAAGTTTTGAAATATTTCATTGACCCTTAATAATTTCTTTCTTTAGATCTGCCACTTTGAGAGTCCCTAAGTGTGGAGAACTACCACAGAGAAAACCTTGATTCTGGTTTTGGCCTAGACTAACAAGGGACACTGTTGGCTCAGCATAGCTTAGTTGTCCTTCAGGAATTACTGTGAGATGTAGTGAGTGGAATGGCGATGGGCAGTGTGCTGCCTGGTATTAGAGAGGATAGTTTTAAGTTGTGAGCTTAAAATTTAAAAAGTCATCATGTAAGAGGGTTTAGATTTCTTTACATCGTAACTTATTCTTTACAGACATTAGGTATGAATTTTCTCCTCTTCTAGGGAGTGATGGGCCATTCTCAAGATTTAAGATACCATCTTGTAAAGTTGAAATGTTTGGAATATAGACTGAAATGCCTGACACTTTTTGACTACATTTGTGTGAATCCATGAACTGGTGTCTGAGAGGTAGCTGTTCTCCTTTGAATTGTGTTCTTAACTCCCTAAGCGCAAAATAACTGCCATAGTATTCATACTCAAGGAGAATGTTGCTTATAACAAAAATTCTCTTACACAATAATTTTGAGCATGAAAAATTTGGTTAGTTCATTGGCCAGAAAACACTAACATAGAAAAAGAATTGCTTTTTGTTTTTTGGTGAGAGAGTGGGCTGATCACCCATGGGGAATGTGGTTAGAATACCAATGTATGGAGGTATGTGAATTCACATTTCTTTAATCTTCTTGACATATTACAAGGTTGTGGTGGAGACTGGAAGTTTGTGTTTATTTACTTGTTGACTTATACACTGCTTGTTTTCATCTGTCATCAAAAAGATACTCAACTCTTAAGTTAGAAAACACTACAGTAACAGTTCTTCATCCAAAATTACCATCTGTGTCTCATCTAAATGCTTCTAGATAGTTTGATCATGTATTGGGTCTTTGGGTCGAAGTTGGAGTTTGGGGAGTAACATGGAATGAGGAGAGAACCTAGCTAGAATCCGACAGTAGGCTTGGAAAGATCTCTGTTTTGAATTTGTTTTCCCTGGGGAACCATTTCAAGATGCCATTGTTTTGCCATTTTTGACTCTCCTGGCTTAGAAATAATTATTGTTAATGATGAAAGAGAAAATCTAAGTTAGGTGTATTGAGTGTAGTCTGCTTCTTTGTATCAGTTTGCTTCATTTGAATGCTCTGTTATAATGCAGTACAGTACTTTAAAGAAGACCTTGACATTTTTGGAAAACACCATGGAAAGAAAGATGGTTAGGCACAATGTCTCTTTCTATTGCAGACTTCTACTGCCGAATTTACATTTGTACATAATGCCTTTTGCATACCAAAATGATCTAAATTTAGTTGTCTGAAAAATGTAAACTTTTCTAGTCATCATCTGAAAAGCTTATTTTAAAAATAAATGCAATTGTAAAAATGTATTGATGTTTTTATAAGGCATGATAGTCAGCAGTTTCTTAGGAATTGTTCTGGTTGAATTGTTTGAAGCATATGCTTAAAGGTTCATCTACCATGTTTGCTAATGAAATGTTTCCACTTGGTTCTGTGGCTTGGGTGTAGGAAGTGTTGTAGGGGATTAGAATGAGTAGACAATTAAGGGAGAATTGGTGATAATTTGTATCATCTGCCTTACCATAAAATATTATGTAGAAACAAGGTTATGACTGTTTCAATTTTAATACATTTTAATTCTGTCAAGGGAATTGTGGGTGTTTCAGTTGTTCTAATGCTACAAGACCAGAGAATTGGTGTTGGAAAAAGATTTCCTGCAGCAGTCAGAGATCAAATGGAAATGAGAGCTCTGGGAGAGTTCATTTACTGATGAATTATAGCAAAATAAGGTTTACTGTTTTAGTAAGCATCAGTCATTTGCTAAGGATTGCTCAAAACATCCTTTCCTTCTGCCCTTGTGAAGTGTGTGTTCTTGCAAAACAATCAGGAAGGACATGAGTGTGAAAAGACATTCATTAACATTTTCTCTGTTTTAAAGGTCTCTGTCAAAGTGATGTTTTATCTTGTCCAAAAACTTAACACATTTGGAGTCAGAATGAGAGTAATGCTGTCATGGGACCATTTGGCTGGGAAAGTGCTAGTGAAGAGGAAGCGGGAGATGACCTTTAGGGTTTATTCCTTACAATATTTTCCTGGTATCAGAAATTCTGAAATACCATGAATCAGAGCTCTTTAAGTGCCATGGATTCCAGCAAAAATGTTTACTGGCTGTGTGAACTTGGTCTACTGTTTTTGCATGTAAAAGGAGGTAAATATAATTTTGTACCTCTTCTAGTGTTGCTAGGAAAGTTTAGTAAGCTGATTTACATGATATACTTGGAGCAGGCTGGTATGTAAGAACCAAATGCTACTCAAATATTTTTATTATTTATATAGTAGTTTTTGGCAGATCTAGGGCCTCAGTGCTGCTCACTGATACTTTTGAGAGTTCATCTTGTTCACTTTTTGTTCTGAGTTAACAAACCGCAGAGGCAGGGTTTTCATCTGCTCTAGTCTGATTCCAAGTCACGTTCTTTGCACTACTTCATGCTGCCTTCCCAGAATTGCAGGATGGAAATTATGATTTCCTTACCTCTCGCATGCTGATTCACAGTCTTTGCAGTTCTGGGAGTTATTAGAATCCTTATGATGTCATTTTTACTTGGTTTACTGATCTTTGAAAATGTCCTTGGAAGGCTGGCTCATACGTGACAGCAATAGTCAAAATTGGCTAAACTACTACTACTCACTAGCATTGAGGAATGTGTAGTTTCATTCCAATTTAGATCGCTTTTAGTGGGAAATGGATTTTCCTTTAAATTTCAGATGTTGAAAATGCAAATTGAGGGTGATGGATTTTTTTGGTCGTGACACAAATATGGCTTCACAGTTATGTTATAGTCATGCTATGCTAATTCTTGTGGCCTGAAGATTTCAAGCTGATCTTGCCTGCAGGTCCTTGAAAGACAGGACCTTGACAGATATTGAGCGGGCAAAGTCTACAAAAGAAAGCTGTATTTTTTGACGGATTTTTTTTGTTAGATGAAAATGGTTAGGAATATTGGCACAATATCATTTAAGAATTTGTAAGTATTCTGCCTGAAATAATTAGATATAGTATGGAAAGGAATGAGACATGTGAATATGAATATTGCCTCTGAAATGTACATGTACAGAATAAACACAATAACAGGGATCTTTAGGTTATTGATGAGCTATAGAAGATACAGGTACATGGAGTAGAAATTTGTATTGCTTTCTTTTGCCCTTAGATGATTTTTTTTTATTCTTTTTTACAAACGTTAAATCTGTTGATACATCTTTTCATCTCTGCCTTCTCCACTACATGAAGTTTCTCTCTCTCAGCTGGAGTAG